CAGGAGGGTCGCGGATGCGGGGGACACCGCAACATGGTGTCGGCGCAGGAGGAAGCGTTTGCTGAGCGGCGTCTTGGTGCATGGTAGAAGGCACGGTACGGGATCTAAGCTCCAAGGGCATCGAATATTAACCGAAGGTGTTAGAAGGGCACAGCACTTTCCACCAAATTGTTGAGGCGTTTATTGGTGGACACTTGTCGATGATGCTTGACAGCGACAGTCAATGCGGGTACCGACTCTCTGCACGAGCTGCTCTTCTTTTTGCTAAAAGGGCGACCCAATAGAAGGCGCTGGAGAGGACGACCCACTGTTCGAAGGTTTCGCCACAATATATATATATATAGTGGGAGTAATAATTCAATGGGCCAGTTAGCCTTCGTGAAGGTATGGGATATGGCACAATGGGAGCGTTGTCAACAAGGATAAATATATTTCCCAACAGTTTTGGGAGGGGTCCTCCCTTCATCAGGGGATGAGTTATACTGACATGCACTTCCAAACTTTGTTGCTGCCGCGTCCCTCTCGCCTTGAAAGTTGTTTGCGAGAGCGAGAAGGAAATAAAAAAGAAAAAAAAAAACAAAAAAGGTGGGGGAGAAAAAAGACGAAAAAGAAAAAGAAAGAAAAGAAAGAAAGTAAAAAAGAGGAAGAACCACTGTCAACACTGAGAACGAAACCAACTGTCCGTGTACGTCCACATTGAAAAGCGGGTGCAATACGAATAACACGCGGAACAACTAACCAAATATCTATCTCACGAAATTGCACCTAAGGGCCTCCGCCTAGCCTGCAACCCCTCAATGTCTACACTAAGTGAAGCAGAAAGGGGGAAGTGGGAAAAAATATTACTAGAAGCGTCCTTGCAACGGACTCGGGTCATTGCAGACCATAGTGAGCGTAAGGTCGCCGAATACAGTGTCACGGAGGCCACGCAGAAATTGGTATCTAATCTCGGAGAGCATGAGGCAAGAGAACCGGAAAGATATGAACTCAAGAAGAGAGGCGAAATTTCAGTAGTAAAAGATAGAAAATTCAAGCGGGACTGGAGTAGCTCCACTGCTCTGCAACAAGAAAATAGGAATGAGGCCGTACAAGAACGCCAGGGACCACCCGTACCACAACCTAACTTTGAGGAGAAAAATGGGAACTCGAAACTACAGTGCAATCCTAATCAAAACATCCTTACTCTCGAATATGACACTGACACTCTTGTGCCACGTGATAGCCAAGAGCAGCCGAAAACTTATGAGAAAAATGTCCTCAATCTGTCAAACACAACACTCACACCCGCTCAGCTTCAACTTTTGTCGAGAGGCTTAACCTTTTGTCCATCATCCAGTAGATTCAATGAATTTGAACTGTACCAAGACCTCGATAACTTTGCGCATAATCTCCGCCTCCGTGAATACTTTCATGATCGCAAGGACTGTACGAACGAGAATAGAGTGATTGGTGGTGACAGATCATGGTGTCCGGGTGAGCAGAGGGACAAACACCTCGATATGTATATATCAGCAGTTCAAAAAGATATCATCAGAGCGTATGAAAAAAAAATCGGCCATTTCGAAACAACATATCAAAGTCAGAACGAAGGGCACTTGATGAACTACAAAAAAACACTGGAATTACTATCAAACCGGCTGATAAAGGGGGCTGCATAGTAATTCTAAACACGTCGGACTACTTAAAGGAAGGGGAACGACAGCTGTCAGACACAAAATTCTACAAAGAACTTCCAACGGACCCACTCCCGAATTTGAAAGGAAGATAAAAGCAACCCTAAACAATCTCCGCCGGGACGAGAAAATTACCGGCAAAATGTTAAAAGCAATGTTACCGGCCCATTCTGTTCCCGGTCGATTCTATTTGCTCCCCAAAATACACAAGGCAGGTAATCCGGGACGTCCGATAGTATCCAGTAACAGCACATCAACAGAAAATATATCAGAATTCATCAATTCCTTAATAAAAAAACATCCCCCCAAATTTTCCCTATTGGACATAGGACACAAACCACTTCATCTGCGAAACTTCAAGTCTCGACATCCCCGGCGGCAGTTTTCTGGTGACCATGGACGTCTGCTCACTGTACACCAACATACCCCACCATGACGGAATAGCGGCTATGGTTTCTGAATATGTAAAATCTGACTCATCAACTAGTGTAAGTGGCGAGGTACTGTTTACACTTCTTGAACTTGTACTAAATTATAACCATTTTGAGTTCAATGGCAAGCATTTCCTTCAGGTCAGTGGCACTGCAATGGGCACGAAAATGGCCCCAAACTTCGCGAGCACCTTTTTCACTTGAAATCATATTCATTGAGCGACGCACCTTGAAACCTTTCTACTACAGAAGATACTTAGACGATATTTTTATGATATAGAACCATGATGAGGGAAGTCTTTTCCGCTTCATAGAGGATTTTAACAAGTGCCACCCGTCAATAAAATTTACGCACGAAATTTCCAAAACTAGCATTAACTTTTTGGACGTCACTGTCACGGTCGAAAATGACTGCTTGTCAACAAACCTTTACAAAAAGTCTACAGACCGTCAAATGTACCTACATTTCAACAGCAGCCACCCAAAGCATTGCGAAACGGGTATTCCACATTCTCAGGCCTACCGGTACCAAAGAATATGCACCGATATGCGGGAATTTGACAGACACGCGAAACACCTAAAGCATTCCTTATTGAAACAAAATTATCCGGAAGACATTATTGACGATGCCATACTACGTGCTCGCAACGTGAACAGGAATGATATAATTGAGGGACCAAACAGAGTATCTAAAAAGACTTCCCAAACGAACCTTGTACTAACTTACTCCTCATCAGCGCCACGAATCAACAACATACTTTCCCGCCATTTCAACATAATCAGGCAAAGCAAACGACTAACTTCTATTTTCGCGAAGCCACCTCACGTGGTGTACCGCCGGGATAAAAATCTGAAGGACATTCTTGTCAAAGCAAAAACAAACACCCCCAAATTTCAATCAGGGTGCCATCCCTGTGGAAAAGCTCGATGCTAGGTATGCCCACAGATGGTCACAACACGGGAATCCAAAGCGAACTTCTCGAATTTCAAATTCTGCATAACTGAAAGCCTTAATTGTGACTCCAGTAACGTAATATACATGCTACATTGCAACATCTGCGGACAAGAATATATCGGCCAAACAGACACGCCATTTCGGCTGCGGTTCAATAATCACCGGTACCACGCCACTTCACTGCCGAAGCTACCTTTATCTAGACATCTGCGCCTGCCAAACCACAGTTTTCAAAATATCAGCGGAACTCTTTTGCAGTCCGATTTCTCAAACAGACGCGAGCGCGAACAGCGTGAGGCATATTTTATTTTCAAATTTCGAACATTAGTAGCCGGCATCAACGAGGACCCCGAAAAACTCAATTGCCTACGAGAAGTAAGCCAGGAGGAAATTGGTGACAAAGATTGATAGCTGGAGACCATGCTTTTTTTCTGACTGACTCGTACGTGTACACTTTCCCTTCTTGTTTTTTGTTTCTCTTTTTTTTCCTTTTTTTCTTCCTTTTTTTTCCACATGCACATACAAAGTGTTTACGTTCGCCTAGCACTTGATGACCATTGAAGGGAAACGGACGAAGATTAAAGGTAAAGAGCCGACCAACCCATTAACGGGAAATCCTTCCTTTACGCATGCGGCACGGCACGCCGACCGACTACGGGGAAACCTTTTCTTTGGTGGCCCGACACACGTCCAGAACTGAACAGCACTTGATAAGAACCGTATGTGGACGTACACGGACAGTTGGTTTCGTTCTCAGTGTTGACAGTGGTTCTTCCTCTTTTTTACTTTCTTTCTTTTCTTTTTCTTTTTCGTCTTTTTCTCCCCTTTTTTGTTTTTTTCTTTTTTTTAATTCCCTCTCAATCTCGCAAACATCTTTAAAGGCGAGAGGGACGCGGGAGCAACGAAGTTTGGAAGTTCATGTCAGTATAACTCATCCCCTGATGAAGGGAGGACCCCTCCCGAAACTGTTGGGAAATATATATATTTATCCTTGTTGACAACGCTCCCGTTGTGCCATATCCCATATATATATATATATATATATATATATATATATATATATATATATATTCTTTACTGTAAGGCTGTCTGGAGACAGTCCTGTAATATTTTGGCACAGCACAATGCTTCCATGTACTGCACTGGTCCTGCAGACAGTGCTGCCAAATTTCTTTTTAATTGCGTATGTGTGTGTGTCAGTTTTCTTGAGTCTTTCACGCAATGCTACCGTTTTGACATGTGTATTGCAGCTTTTCAAATTGCCCTTATGTTTCTGCATCAGTGTCATGCGCATTACATGCTACCCGTGACCATTTAAGTTGGTGTTCAGTTTAAGGTCAAGTTCCCTCTTTGCAGAAAGTCGGGAGTCTTTAGTGTTGTAGCTTTGCTTGGTGCTGCAAGAAGCTTTGCAACAGCAAGGCTGCTGAATCTTGTTGCCACGACTCAATGTCTTATAAAGCCCGTTTATAACATAGTAATATTATGCTGCTTTAATTTTTAGTTAAATATCGGCTTTCCTTTTATTAGCTGCTGCAGATATCGGCTGTGCTTGTGGACAGGACACAGGCAGAATCAAAACAAAGCACGAACGTTATGTTGAGTGATGTCTTTGCTGACAACCCTGGGAAAGTTTTGTAGCACAGTTGGCATCAGCTCGCGACCTGAACAATGTAAAACTGCGGTCTAGGTGCGTAACCTGAAATCTTGTAAAATGCCTAGCTTACTCTTCAGCTTCATCAGCATTCGCTGTCATTTGTTCACATCATACAGATGTTAGGGCGCATTATCTGGCACGCATTGTTGTTAAGATGTGTATGTGCGTGCATGTGTCTGTGAGCTGTGCCATCGTCAGCCACTTTGGTCTAACTTCACTTGCCCTGCTCTGCCCCATCTTGCTTCCTCTCTCGCTGCTGCTCCCGTGGTGTGGCGGGGTGCCTGCAGTTCCACACCGGACAATGGCATGAAGCAGTGGTGGGAGCAAGTGCAGTGCACCAGTGTCTACTCCCCCGACAAAAGCAAGAGTGGCGCCGGCCAGAGGTCAGTGGCCTCTTGCTCTCTTCCCCCTCTCTTCTTTCTGTCTCCTCCACCTCCAGACTCCTGCCTTCCACAGTGCCACCACCCTCTCTGTCTCAACCTGAACGGCACCTTTGGCCTGGTGAAGCTGTGCGAGTTCCTTTATCTATAGCTGAAGTTCTTAGCGGTGCAAGAAAGAAGCTGAAGTAGCTTTACACTAGCACAACCCGTGCAAGATAAAAGTAGGAGCTGTTCAACAAAGTGGATAATTGGGCCAGTTGGTGATTCATGATTGATGTATGCTGTGTGTTGAGAAACACGGACGACAAGCAGACAAGAACCTTGTCTGCTTGTTGTACATGTTTTCTATTGTGCAGTATGCATTGACAATGAGTAGGTGCTGCATTCACTTTTGCATCTCGCGAATAAGCTGGAACCTTTCCCAGCCTAATATTTGGCTGGATCGCTCGGCTGTTAGACCAGGAAAGCTGCTTGTGGGAGGGGTTTACTTTTTTGGTAAGGCCTAGCTGACGAATCAAGTGCTGTGGAGCAACATAGCGACAGCTTGCCAGTTTGGGTGGGATGGTTGCCAAAGCAAACATTTACGGTGCAGGACAGTCGAGCTAGTGCGTGGGTATTCATCTACGGAAAAGTTTACAAGTGGGAAAGAGACCCCACAAATGCGGACTGTCAGCTGAAATTTCGCTGAGTGCGGAAGAGAAGGTACGCTCATCTGTGCATTGTCAGGTGTGGAAGCACCTTCATTAGATTGGGACACGAATTTTCCTTGTTGACGGGGGGCACTTTACACCTGTGCCAGCACAGATGGGTTTTGCACCTTTCCTTCTCTTCTGTCACAGCACGGCATTTCAGTTAGTTGACAGTTGGCATTTACATGGTCTCTTTTCCTTCTGTTGCATGCCTAACCTTTTCCAGAAGAACGACTTAACTTGCGTTTAAATTGGGGACATCCATTGTTAAGTGCTGTTGCACTTAACAGAATACCAATCAAGAAGGGTGTAAGGCAGGGGGACACAATCTCCCCAATGCTATTTACCGCATGCTTACAGGAGGTTTTCAGAAGCTTAGAATGGGAACAGTTAAGGATAAGAGTTAATGGAGAATACCTTAGTAACCTGCGATTCGCCGATGACGTTGCATTGCTGAGTAACTCAGGGGACGAATTGCAACTCATGATTACGGAGTTAGACAAGGAGAGCAGAAAGGTAAAAAAAATTGCCCGCAGCTTCCCTCGGGGGAACACTGAGGAGGATGCGGACCATATAATTGGTTAACGGGGTGTTAAAGTGCGACTTACTTGGGTCGATGGCTAAATTGGTTAACGTGGTTGTGAAATGGGGTGTTAAATTGCGACTTACTTGGGTCGATGGCTAAATTGGTTAACGTGGTTGTAGGAGGGGGTGTTAAATGAGTGAACACGTACACACGTATGCGAAAGGGCGGCGCTGGTCGAAGGGACGTCGATCATTGTGTTTGTGGATTCGTTGGAATTCATTTCACCGCGACCTTGGACGTCGACGCGCCGTACAAACCAACCGACGAGCGGCAACTGAGCGAGCGAGCGCCGACCTTGAGTATATATACAGCACGACGGCGCATGCACTGTCAGCTGTTGAATGTTCTCGAAGCGCGACGCCACATGCGCGTCCACTGGAGAATCAGGAGAATTGTAGATGTCGAACGCGGTGTGTAGAGGAGGAAGGGTGAACAGATGGTGGAGGAGTGAAGCGCGCGCGGTGTGTAGAGGAGGAAGGGATGCACAGATGGTGGAAGAGTGGGCGACGGCGCATGCGCGCGCGTCAGCTGTCGAATGTTCGAGAAGCGGTGTGGACGGCGCGGATGACGCGGACGGCGCACTATAAGGCGCGAGTATAAGATGCTCCGCATCTAAAAAACGAAAGTAATGTACAACAACCTTGGAAAGGAGCAGCATTTCGAGATAGGTAATAGTGCACTTGAAGTTGTAAAAGACTATGTCTACTTAGGGCAGGTAATAACCGCAGAGCCGAACTTCAGCTTAAATTGAGGACGACGCAGCGAGCAATGGAAAGAAAAATGGTAGGTGTAACCTTAAGAGACAAGAAGAGAGCAGAGTGGATTAGGGGACAAACGGGGGTTAAGGATATCATAGTTGAAATAAAGAAGAGGAAATGGACATGGGCCGGGCATGCAGCGCGTAGACAGGATAACCGCTGGTCATTAAGAGTAACTAACTGGATTCCCAGAGAAGGGAAGCAGATTAGGGGGAGATAGAAGGTTAGGTGGGCAGAGAAGATTAAGAAGTTTGCGGGTATAAATTGGCAGCAGCAAGCACAGGACCGGTTTAACTGGCGGAACATGGGAGAGGCCTTTGTCCTGCAGTGGACGTAGTCAGGCTGATGATGATGATGATGATTGTTAAGTGCAATCTTCTTAGTAGCAAAAGAAATGTTAGCATTGTTCTTGGTCATAAAGTGACAATTTTATAAATGATTTTCCTTGTCTTCTGCTGTAGTCGAGTTAGCCATCTTGCTGAAGGCACGTTCACCTTGTCAAAGGCACCGCTGCCCACGTGATTACCTTCCTCTGATGCTCAGGCTAGAGCCTCTGGGAGCTTTCTGGGTGCCTGCCTTGTTGGCAACAGGTCTTTGAGCAAAAGAACACTTATCAACAGAGTTGGCTGTGCCTTGCTTGAAGCGAGCTCTTGACAGCCAAGGCTGTCGACATCATTGATTGCCCCCTGCTTGTTGGGTACTCTGTCAAATTTTAGCTCGATTCACTGTAACTGAGCAAATTTGGTTCTTACTAATGTTTCAAGTGCTCACCTCAACGTGTTTCAACTTGTGCATCGTGACAGAGGCAAGCTATTGCAGCAGAGCTTCTGACGGGAGGCGGGCCTGTGGGGTCACATTGGGAACCATGCATGCATTTTCAGCTCAGATAGTATTAATGCGAACATAAGTGTTTGGGTATTTCGAGCAGTGGCAAATACTTATGTTATGTAGGCGAACACAACCAGCGTTATTAGAACCTTTATTAGCACTAGGAAAGGTTAGTGTGGTGACATACAGTCAAAGTGACAGGGAACATCGAAACTGAGTTTTGAAGTGTTAGTTCAAGGTAGAGCCCGAGTGCAGAGAAAACCCTTCACAGTGCTCAATAATGCAGTTTTTGTAACCTGGTAGTGAAGTTACACGAGAAATTATTCAAAATAACATCTTTGCAGTTGAGCAATGGTGCACGATGTTATGCAGTTACAGAAAGCAGGATAGCTTGCATAACTCTGACTGATCGCCATCAGTGTTAACCACAGTCGCCCAAGTGGAACCCCCATTAATGAAGTGCAGCTGCAATAACCTTAATTAGCTTTGTCACTGCACCATCCACCGGTGGTTCTGCCAGATTCATGACAATAAAATAAGCACCTGCCATGTCTTTTGATCGGTCACTGTTGATATGAAGTGTTTCGCTGGCTGCGACCTTCTCGAGCTGGCCATCGTTGGTGCCTGCCAGCGTCCTGCCATTTTCTGTTGAAAAAAAAAAAAAGAAATGCACTGCAGTGCTTGGCATTCTGCACAGCCCACAAGCACTAACGTTATCAATAGTCCCTGCTAATGCAATACAGATCATCATCATATCTTCATCACGTATGCCTGTGTGTGGTGTATGCTTGCTTGTCTTGAAATGCAAATGGCATGCACAAATAATTTTTAGAGGCGTTTCGATGGCTGTGTGTTGAAAAAAAAAACACATTAACAGACTGACTCATTGCTGAAGAATGTTTAGAGAGCACGGTACGGTAGCCAGCATGCTCTAGCAAAGGGCCATCATAGTTTAAAAGTGATCCAACATTGGCTTTTTTTCCCCTGCTGGCATGTTGCAACAGAAGCAATTTAATAGTGGGGCTACGATGCTTCATTGGTGCTGGCCGCACCACCCATTCTCGCAATCAAGGGTGAAAAGTACCAGCGCTCCAAATTGTTCCGAAACGGCCAGCCCCATTCGCCGTTAGTTGTCTCGATCCCTGTTTATGCTTCTATTCTTTGGCATTAGGTGAAGTTGATGCAGGGACGAATAAAAGCAAGTTTTCTGAGGGGATCGTTTCTTTGTCGACGCAACCAAACGAATTAAGGCATTTCATTGGGAGTACCGCTTTGTGTTTTGACTAGTGTGTTGTACCCCAGTGCTGTTCGGTGTCCTGAGCCAGTTTGTTTGAGGTTGTGTTGTAATTAGAACACCTCCTTCATTTGTTATGGCTTCTTTTCTCATTAATGTTTCATGTCTGCAAGTGGCCAACACGCACAGTGGAACTCTTAGCTTGTACTACAGTGTGTAACTAACGCTGCTTGCCCATGTGTCTGCTCTCCCGACTGGAACAGGATGAAGGCCAGGAAGCAGAGCGACGATGTAGCAAGGACGATAGCATGTCCACACAAAGTGAGTAGACACATGAAAAGAGCATATCCTTGGGCACGGCATTACGTGCTGTCAGTTTGCTAAGCAGCACGAAACGAAAGGTGCACAAACACGACGTTGTGCAGAATTGCGTGACATCCGTGCGCGTTTCGTGTCGAGTTCTTCAGTGCTTTAGAGAAGTTGCCACAGTCAAGCGTCTTGATAACGAAGTTGGATATGAGAAGAAAAATTTGCCTTATTACACTTAAATCTTATTATAACAAGGTTACACCTGCCATAAAATACTTTGGTACTTCCAAACATTTATTATAAGCATGTGTTTGTAGCACTGTATTTGTTTCAAAACTATTCTTAAATTACTTCGTTATAACTGATAATTTGTTATACCATATTAACTTGCATAATCCTCACTTCTTCTGGCAAAAAATCAATGCAAAGTTGGGGGCTGCCAGAATTACATGGTGAAAACTTTTGGTGAAACTGTAGAAAGAGAAAACAAAGTGGCCTTAAATCGGGATTCTCACATTAGCAACTAACTGCAAGTTTTGAGAACTGCTAATTAAGACTTGCATCAACAATAAAACCGCAGGTTCAACACAAGGCAAGATTTATTTTGGGCACAAAAGGCGTAAGCAAATAGTCGAGAAATAAAATATCGTACGCAAACTTGTGGGCGTTGTGGGCATAGCGGTAGCATTCGTCACTCAACAGGAGCCCCCAAAAGGTTAGCATACACAACAGTATTGGGCTGATGGCCATTTAACACAGAATCATCCGCAGTTGCCTTCTAAATAAAGTTTACCATCCATCCCAGTCTTAGGCACACGGAAGGCCCAACGCACCTTGGTGGCTTTCAGCTGCCGTCACTAGCAGCGAACACAAAACACATAGATTCCGAAGGGCCTACTGGTGGCCGTGTTGCCATTGTTTAGTGTGTGATCAATCACTTTCAACTTGAAAGCAGCCATGTAGCTTTCGTATCGCCCCATAACCGCAAAGCGAAATCCAACATTACGGACACAACGTACAAAACATGCCGCAACACGCACTTGCCATTTTGGCTTGGCTTGGATCAAATTGAATCTTCGTAGTACGCTTTATGCTTAAGAGATAGCGCCAGATGGTGTGCGCTATGCTAATCAGTGGCTGCAGATGGCAGCAATTTTCGGGTGTGCGAAAATTACTCGTGGAAAAAAAGATCGGTGTTTTTGTTGGACAATGGGCAAGGTGGGGTGGAAGGGGGTGCGAGAATTATGCGATTGCGCGAGTAAATACAGTACTCTCAAACCTGAATATAACAAACCCAAATGTAACAAAATACTTGTGATAACAAAGCAAATGAATAGTGGTCTTCCAATAGGTACAGTGTTAGAAATATATCTTTAGAACGAATTTTATTTTCGTACAAGATGCAATTTCATTATAGTGAGCTTTGAGTGCATTCGTGTTTGTTAATGTTGGGGTATGAGTGTATATTTAGGAAATCTATGGCTTATCCGCTCTGTAAAGATGGTTGTACAGTAAAGTCTGTGCGCGATGATCACCTTTGCGAGCTTCCCTGTGGTGGCCCTTAGTGGCCTCTGTAATGTCAAGAATTCTTCATTGCTATGTTTCTTGAGCTTTGTGAGCTTGCACTTTGAAGTCCTTGTCTTTTTGCCAGCACTTCACCTCCGCTTTACGAGCTCAAAACGCTGTGTCTTTGGAATTGTCATGGTCAAGTTTATGCGATTGGCTTGTGAGGTCACGTAGGGTAAGGAAAATGTGTCATGTCATGTTAAGAATCCGCCGCTACGTTTGAAATGCGGGCGCTTACGCCTAATTGGTCAAAGTGAGATCTCCTGGTTCGTTCCAGCCACTGATGATCGTAGCGCACGCCATCTGGCGCTATCTCTCAAGCATAAAGCATGCGACGAAGATTCAATCCAACCCAAACCACAATGGCAAGTGCACGTTGCGGCATGTTTTGTACATTGTGTCCGTAATGTTGTTATGCTCCAAGGCATCCACTGAGCCAATGATGTCTCAATGGATGCCTCATGATGTGATGTCGCGAATATGTCACTATACGGTATTTACTCGCGTAATGAACACACTTGCATAATAAACGCACGCCCAACTTCAGTCGTCAAAATTTTAATTTTTTTTTCTCCCGCGTAATCTATGCGCCACAGCAGGGCTCACGAATGATGCAAGTGTAGAGACATCGCAGCTGACAAGCACACAGTGAGTGAAGGGCACAATACTGCCCGCGCCAACCCACGGTCGTTTCCTGTATATACGAAACATTAAGGCCCAACCACATGCACGCGATATTCGAGCGGCAACGACGAGATTCGCTGTTGACATGGTTGTTGTGAAGGACCATTCATCCCCATCACGTTGCGGGTTTCTGGAAAACCAGAATTAAATCGTTTGTCGCCCAGGAAAGATCGTGAGTATGACCGCCGTAACATGATAGCACCCCCTATTCTTTCTTCGGTTGCAATGTCCTCTTCGTGCTTGTTATCTGCATGTACTTCAAGGAACGCAAGATATAGGCTTCCTTTTCTACAGTTATTTCTCACGTGGACAACGAGGCGGCGGCTGTATTTTGTCATTAATTTTGTTATCAGCGGTTTGTTTTGATGCTTTGGTGGTAGCTTGCTGCGATGTTGGTTACTTACTGCAATGTCAACAGCGGCGGCGTGGTCGTCGTGTGAGGTTGCCGTGAAGTTGGCTAAGTGCATCGTAGCACATGTTTCTGGGCACTCTTTCATATCATGTCAGATACCACTGTTGCAGTTAAATGATTGCGAGAAAAGATAGGTGCGAAATCGCTTTTTTGGCATGTGCAGGCGGCGCAGGGACAGCTTACAGAAGATAGCGTCATCAACCACCGAAGATGAGTGAAGTGCAACAAAGAAGCTGTTTCCAAACAGCGTACTCACATGTCAGTTGTGAAAGGCTAAGCAACTTAGCTTTCTTTTTTTTTTGCATTGCCGCATTTTTGCTCATCCTGAAAAAGTTTTCATAAAATTTGCCTGGCATAACAAACGCACCCCCAACGTTGCCGCGATTTTTCACGAAAAAGTGTGGACATTACGCGAGTAAATATAGTATTTGAAATTTGCGCGTTTACACCTGATTAGTCTGCAAGATCACCCGACTTCCCGGCTCGGCCAATAGCATACGCACCAGGTACCGATAGCTACTGTGGCGCTAGGCAAACTTGGACAGCTCGGCTGTAAAAATGAATTATAGGCATCTATTTCCAAACATTCATTGAGAGATTGCCTGTGAAAGCCTTGTCTTCCTTGTGTTTGACGAACTGCAGGGCTGCACCAAGATGTTCCGAGACAACTCTGCCATGCGGAAGCACTTGCACACGCACGGGCCCCGGGTCCACGTGTGCGCCGAGTGTGGCAAGGCCTTCGTCGAAAGCTCCAAGCTCAAACGGCACCAACTGGTCCACACGGGGGAAAAGCCCTTCCAGGTGCGTGTCACTCTTGAATTGACCAGCTCGAATCTAAAAGTGGGTAAGCTGCGTTGGCTGAACGTTCCATTAACTGTCCCAGTTTACTGAAGCCGGAGTTCCGTGAACTCTCCGTATGTGTGAGGTTGTGGAAATACTTCGTGGAAGTTTGATAGGACCGACAGTTGGGCGATTTGCCAACTGGATAAGCTTCAAGTTGAAAAAGAAAAACATGGCAAGCAACACATGGCCAAAGAAATAAATACAAGTTTTTACCTATCCTGCTTGCCCCCCTTCGTCCGGGTGTGTCTTTTTGTTTTCTTTTTTCTGTTTTTAAGATGAAGAATGAATACCTCATGCTCCAGAATGAAATGCGCAGCTGTATACTATGGAATTTCGTATTTCTCAAGTAAATGGCAGGAGAACAGCAAAGAATGTAGTTTCGGGAGCAGTACTACGAAGAACACTGGAATTACCTTCTGATGGTCATAGCGGCTAAACACGGTTGGCTAACAAAAAAGTGCTAATAACACTGACTGCCCTAGTGATAATGTATAATTTTCGATTCTGTGTGTCACATTCGTGTCAAAAGATTACCAGTGATGCATAATTTATTACTTCGTTATTTTGGTGTGTTTCCTCTCGTATTCCTCACAGCTGTACATGCACTTATTTGGTGCATTGTAAAAAGATTTTCGTGGCTCTTGGCTTTGCGTGGGACTGTGCCGAATGCTTTTTGTTCACTCATAGTACCATGAGTAGCGGTTTTACGAGCCCTAAATGTCGTCTCGTCCTTTCGTGCAGTGCACATTTGAAGGATGTGGCAAGCGGTTCTCTCTGGACTTTAACCTGCGGACACACGTGCGCATACACACGGGTGACCGGCCGTACGTCTGCCCTTTCGACGGCTGCAACAAGAAGTTTGCGCAGTCCACAAACCTCAAGTCACACATTCTCACCCATGCCAAGGCCAAGTGAGTGTTTAGTCAAAAACGCTTAACCCCTAGCTTTCTTCCTTTCTCATCGCCTGCAATATCTGTCTGTACCCTATTTGTGGCAAAATGCTTTGTTGCTCTCATAAACTGGAGTTATGTAACATGCAGGAGTGCGCTGAGCTGTGTCGCAAAATAGTAGGTCCAGGCATTCGAGGTTCTTACAGTGTCACGTAGAAGGAATATCTAGCATATCTAGCACCGTCATCTCTCAATGCGTGCCTCTCTAAACTTCGGAGTGTCGGGATACGAAGGTTTTGAGCTTGTCTCAGTGTAACTGGCAGAGACGTGTTCGCAGCTTTGAGAATAGAGTGGTTTTTCGAGTGAATGAAACCATCGTGTTAAAAAGAAATGGTCTCGGTTCTCCCGTAACACGTCTTTCGTTAATGTTTACTTACATATGCTAGCTCGACGAGCAAGCGAAGGAAATGGAAAACTGCGATTGAAACTGACGATGCACAGTTGAGCGCAGACCTCGTCTTTCCTGATGATATGTAAGTGACCCGTCATTACTGTTCACGTTTCGTACGACCCTTACTACATCCCAGCATGAGTGCTTTTTTTTTTGTCGACCATTTTTTTACATAGTACAGTGTTCCAGCGTAATATTCTAACGTCTTACTGTTGCCGATACGAGCTGCCTTGAATATGTGTGTGCAGCTTACAGAGATGGGTTTGACCAGTTACGGAGGTTATGTATGAGTTTTGTTAAGCATAGGCTGCCAGTTGCTACGAAAGGTTTAGAATCACATTTAATATATTCGTTACTCCTACATGTTATAATTACAGAGTGTTAAATACATGAGGAGCCTCAAAAGTGATAAGGTTGAAAGTGGGTGGTCCCGATTCAATCCTTTATAGGGTGACCCTGATTTACCAATTTTGCTTGCTGTTTGTATACAAGCAAGAAATTAATTCTGAAAGTCTGTCATCTTGTGTGCTCGGGGCTTAGTCGGTGTATTGTAGTTGTTATTGTGGAGCTGTGTTGCTTGGCATTCGAATTGCAAAGCCTTGCACCTAGAAAGACTACTGATGTGGGAGCGTGTGTTCGCTTGTGGGCAATACTGTTTGGTGTTGGACCAACTGTGCAATGTTTTGGCATCATCCGTGAAGTGGAAATTGGTGCAAATATTTTACCTTGGCGCTGTGTTCATCAGCCCAGCGAACAGAGCTTCAGAATGACTGCAAATTATTGCTTGAAAGCATTTCTTCACCCAGCTTGAAACGAGAACTAGTGATGCCTCGTTCTACTATTTATTCTCCTGCTTTTACGATCGTGTTGAAGTAACACAGTTAAACAAAGACTGAAGTAGGTCGCCCATGCACCGCAGTATTCTTACGCAATGACAATAACTAATGGTAGTGATTTTGCTGAAGCCTGGTAAACTCTGCCGACCGGTTTCTTGGCATCCAGTATCGATAATGGTTAAACAGTAATACTGAAATATAACTGAATCAGAAAAAAAACTTAAGTTGCTTAGTCATTGCTCTGTTTTATTCGAGGTCACTGACTCTGTTCTGGCCACGACAGCTGCAATTCCAATGGAATGTGGAAATGCGGAGGTGCATATTAAAGAAAGGTTACATGGTCAAAAAGTTAGTCCTCCTACTAATCATGCTTTGTAATCAGATGGTTGTTTGATATGTGAAACAAAAAAAAATCAAATAAAGGCTGTTATAACACATTGAGCCAGCTGCACCTCAAGGTGCCCTCGTTCTCCAATAAAGACACCAGTGCAGATCCTTCTAAGTGACTGTAAGAAGCTCTGTGGTGGCAGCGGTGCTGCTGTCTAGTTGAGGATCTGCGATAAACCTGAAACCTGAAATGCTTGACATTGCTAGTTTCGGAACATGTTCAAAACGTAAATTGCAGTGTGTTCTTGTTCAATGCTTCAGAAACGACGTGGCTCAGCGGCATTTTCTGCATGTTGCTTGACTCTTGCTTCCTTCTGCTCACAACTTTCTGAGTTTACAATTGGCACGGGTGTGCACCTCGTTTAAGCCTCGCTTTGGCAAAGTTATAATGCGCTTTGTGTTAAGTGTGATGACCAGTAGATTCCTTGGTGCCCGTGTGCTGGAGGTGGGACTACCGTATTTACTCGATTCTACCGCGCCCTCGATTGTAACGCGCACCCGATTTCCACCGCGGAAAAAAAACAAAAAAACGTAAGACATCAATTGCAACGCGCACCCATTTTTCTCGCCGGCCCGCACGATCACACCACTCGAAAAAACTACCGTAATTACTCGAATCTAACGCGCACCTTTTTTCCGGTTAAGCGAGTTCATAAATCGCATGCGCGTTAGAATCGAGTACGAACAAAAAAATTGCGGTCAATCTATTGCCATCGGCAAATCCAAAATGGCCGCCCCCTATGTGCGTCGGCATGGAGCGTCGGCCATTTCTGCCTATGTGTTTCTCATGTGCGGCACTTCGTACGAGTGCTGAGGAGTTCGTCATCTAGTAGTGCATTAGCATCGACGGCGTGGAAGGGCCGACTCCAAAAACTCGAGTGCACCTCGATGCCGCCTTTAAAAGAAAAGTCATCGCGTGTGCAGAAACGGACGGAAATCGGGCCGCATCGCGGTCCTTCTGAGTTCGCGAAACGTGAGTGCGGGACCGGCGGAAACAAAAGCAGAAGATTGTCGACAGCAAAGCTTCACGCAAAGGCTTCAGTGGACCACATCAGGGTCGGTTTCCGCAAATTAATGAGCTGCTCGGCGAGTATGTGCTTGGGCAGCGAGCGGCACAGCGGCCCGTGACGACAGAACTGCTCCAAGTGCGGGCTATGCAATTAGTCTTAGAAAAAGGTCTAATGCGGAGCCAGTTTAAAGCGAGCAGGTGCTGGCTAACTACTTTATAAAGAGGAAAGGTTTTTCCCTCCGAAGGGGAACATGCATATGCGAAAAAAAGATTTGCGGAGGAGTACGATGAAAAGCTTCACAGTTTTCAGAGGTTCGTCCTAAACTTGCGGCGCAACAACGGCTACCTGCTTGGGCAAATCGGGAATGCCGATCAGACGCCTCTTTACTTCGACATGCCTGGCCCCACAACCGTCGAGAAGAAGGGGGCGAAGCAAGTTCGCGTGCTGACATCGGTCCACGGTAAAACTACAGTGACGGCAATGCTCTGTTACACGTCAGATAGGCACAAGCTTTGCCCGTACCTGATATTTAAATGGAAGACGCTCCCGAAAGTAGTAGTTTTTTCGAGTGGTGTGATCGTGCGGGCCAGCGAGAAAAGTGGGTGCGCGTTACAATCGATGTCTTACGTTTTTTTTTTTTTTTCGCGGTGGAAATCGGGTGCGCGTTACAATCGAGGGCGCGGTAGAATCGAGTAAATACGGTACTCCTTTCGGGAGCGTATTCTATTTAAATATGAGGTACGGGCGAAGCTTGTGCCCATCTGACGTGTAACAGAGCTTCCGTCACGGTAGTTTTACCGTGGACCGATGTCAACACGCGAACTTGCTTCGCGCCCTTCCTCTCGACGGTTGTGGTGCCAGGCATGTCGAAGTAAAGAGGCGTCTGATCGGCATTCCCGATTTGCCCAAGCAGGTAGCCGTTGTTGCGCCGCAAGTTTAGGACGAACCTCTGAAAACTGTGAAGCTTTTCATCGTACTCCTCCGCAAAACTTTTCGCATATGCATGTTCCCCTTCGGAGGGAAAAGCCTTTCCTCTAAATAAAGTTAGTTAGCCAGCACCTGCTCGCTTTAAACTGGCTCTGCATTAGACCTTTTTCCAAGACTAATTGCATAGCCCGCACTTGGAGCAGTTCTGTCGTCACGGGCCGCTGTGCTGCTCGCTGCTCAAGCACATACTTGCCGAGCAGCTCTTAAATTTGCGGAAACCGACCCTGCTGTGGTCCACTGAAGCCTTTGCGTGAAGCTTTGCTGTCGAGAATCTTCTGCTTTTGTTTCCGCCGGTCCCGCACGCACGTTTCGGGAACTCCGAACGACCGCGATGCGGCCCGATTTCCGTCCGTTTCTGCACACGCCATAACTTTTCTTTTAAAAGCGGCATCGTGGTGCTATCGAGTTTTTGGAGTCGGCCCTTCCACGCCGTCGATGCTAATGCACTACTAGATGACGAACTCCTCAGCACACGTACGAAGTGCCGCACATGGGAAAGACATAGGCAGAAATGGCCGACGCGCCATGCCGACGCACGTAGGGGGCGGCCATTTTGGGTTTGCCGATGGCAATAGATTGACTGTAATTTTTTTGTTCGTACTCGATTCTAACGCGCATGCAATTTATAAACTCGCTTAACCGGAAAAAAGGTGCGCGTTAGATTCGAGTAATTACGGTACGTCCTGTCAGAATAGCGGAGTTTGACAAGCTTAATGTTTTTTGTCAGCTTACTGTTGTCATATGAAAAATCCAAGGTTGTGAAGCGAGAGAAGGGATAAAGGAAATCGAAGCCTACCAACAATTTTCTGGAATGCAAATCGGTAATCAACGAGAGCACAACTTCTTCAATGTTGTAGCTGCAGTATCTGCATCTTGGGCGTTCGTCTACAGTGCTACAGTTAAACCTCGTTATAACGAAATTGGAGGGCCGCCACTATTTGCTCGTTATAAGCAATGTTTCGCTATAGCCATAGCGGGCATTTACCACAAATAATATGCGCTGTACTTACCCAAAAAAAATAGCGGGCGAAATAGCATCCCGCGGCACGGTGGTATGCAACAAAATAACTGCATTCCCAAATAAAAAGGAAGAAGTCATGCACCTGTTTTAATGCACTTCAAAATACACAGCTTGCATTTCAGGCAGACTTAGCTGCAAAGAAGTCCGTAATTGGACGTTGATGCATCTTCCTGATGCGAACGATGGCTCGCTCAGCTGCGGCCGCAATGTTCAAGCCATCTTCACCGCCCTCGTGAGCGCCGAAGTAGCGGCGCAGTACGTCCACCGCGTCTAATGCCTCCGACGTTGTCGGCACGTTTGTCTCCTGTTCGTCGACAGAGACATCATCA